ATAATTTGCTTTCTATGTTTACCCGCGAGAGATTCGACTTATAAAAAGTTGAACAAAAAAGAATATATGTGTCAATTTATTTTATGTACTTAAGAAAAGTTGCATTGTTCGTTTAAAACATCCGCTTTGTGTGCTTAATTGATATATATTTTGTTTTGCTTTTATCAGTATTTGTTCATAATTATACACGAGAGATTTTTTTGAATAAATAAATTTGTAAAACTGAGCTTTTTGACTTTTTTGAATAATTCTAACTTTAGTAAATGCCGACGTTATTCAAGTAACTGAATGCTTAGAGTGAATCTAGACCTACTGTTAATTGTATTGGCTTTGTTGATTCGAGTTTTAAGTGTAATACGTATGTCAACATTCAGTTTGTATTGGGCATTATTTATACTTAAAATACCAGTATCAAAGTGAGATTATCGTACGCAGCAAACACTCTTGAGATTTGATTTCCACGATATGATGACTAGATTCTCACAACATAGTACATTTGATAACTACGAAGCAGTGTTAGGATTGTCATTCAATCAATAGACTAGGCGATGTAACGTTGAGCGAGGATGTTCGATGTTATGAACGCAGCAACCAGCTTAAAGTGGAAATAGTAAGGATGTGTTCTTCGCAACAAACTGTAAAGTAGAAATAGTGTGATTATCTTAAGAAAAGAAAAAAGAAAACAATTAATTCTTATGGAAAATTAATATCAAAGTACAAATTTAAAATAAAAACAAATCGCGCACCGAAATTTGTTTTCTTTATCAATTTGAAATTCAGACATTCACTAAATTCCAGTATTGCGTGGTTTGATGGTAGCTTTCATTGATTTAGCTAAATGATTATTGTTGTACTTCGCCTAAGCCCCATACTGTTATTGGCTACCTATAGCGACGTGGTACCAATGCTGTGTGAATGTTTGACAAAAAATAATGACGTCGTGTGTTACGTCATTTCCATAACGCCAGGTAAAAATGGCAGCATATTGTCGTTGATAAGAGACAACCATAATAACAGAAGTACCACATTATTAATTGAAAAATTGTGTGTTAACAACTTGTGTCGTATGTCGTGATAGCGTCCGGGCCTTTTCTTTCTCTCAAAGTTCATCGACCGCCATTTGTAGTGTGTACATTTCAAGTCGAGTGAAGATGTTTGTTGAGATCTTGAGCGTGCTTTTGGGTGAACAGTGTGGATCTCGGTGAATTTCTAGTGCGTTGAATAGAATTCAAATTGGATAACACCCAAACAAACTGCCACGAGTCTCGAGGGCTCGGCTTTAACAAATGCAACTGATTCGATTGCGGCAAAGTTTTGGCCCGGGACGATTGAAGAATTTAAAGTATTATTATCCGCATGTAGTATTGGAAGATTAACTTGCTTATTATGGAGTATTTTCAACAAAAAACTATTACGCATTCATATCTTAAGTTTTGCGTCAAAGCCGACAAAACCAACAATTCTCACTTCAGAAAAATATCGGTAAAACCACATTCCTCCTATCATAGAGTGATATGGGGATTGTGGTAAAACGTACATTTTTTGAATTGATCTAGTTTGGAATTTGAACAATACTATTAAAATTAAAAAATAAATAAAAATAAAACATGTTAGCATTCAAACATAGTACTGCTACCCACACATATAGAGACGGCTTCTTTTCCTGAATGGTCCCGAAAATCTATTCAAACATAAACCGTTGCAGATTTCGTTTCGCCTCGAACGGCAGTCTAGCAAAAAACGTCCACTTACTATAACTAACTAGGGTCAAACTCCGGGTCATCTCACCTGCCAATCTGGCCACACAATGTACGTTTGTTTCATTCGGAAGAAATGGCCGGAACTGGTACAAGGGGGCCCGGTCAAGATTGAGTTATACATTCAAGAGGTGGTGGTTGTATACGTTAATGTAAGAGTCAATAATGTACAGTACGCAATTTGCCGCTATATCAAGATTCTTTGATTTTTAATAGTGGTTTTAGCAATTTACGGATCTCATCAAAACGGCGGTTTAGTATTGTCCCGATTGTTGACATAATATTTACGTTGACCGCAAATATGTTAAGATCGCCTACCATAAGCGAGTCGTTTTTTTTTTTTTTTTTTTTTTTTAATTTTTCTTTCATAATAGGTGAACAATGTTTATCTGTAGCTACGTTGTTATAGCAACAGTGTCTGCAGAGACTCGCACAGTATAATAGGTGTTAGTTACTCGATGATACCTGAAGCGAATTGATTTGAGACGGAAATGAGTAATTTTTAAGAAAACAGACTAACACTAAATAAACTGGGATGAGCGATGTCGTAATCACCGAAAAATGTACAATATTTGGCATCTGAGACCTAAATATTTTTGGCATGATGTCATCACTTCTATTGTGTTATTTTTGGCATCAATTAATCTAGTGAAAACAAAACTTAAAGTTCAACGGCATGTAAAAAAATGTTGTCATACAGCGCATAGGGTAAAAGAACGAAAAACGGTGGGAGAAATTAAATGTCACCAACCCTTACAGCGACTGACCTCGGACGACGGTGACGATCTATATAATATTGAGTGTCGTCTGCATACTTGCGTGACCCAAGACCGCCTTTTTTTTTCTTCCACGGTGCCATAACAGATTCCAAACAAGAAAAACCAACCGCAGGAAGCGACACTATCCGAACTGATATTATCTCGTGTTTTCTTTTTTCGCTAATTCCTTCCCATCCATCATCCGAACAATGTTTGAAAAGCTTACATTCTGCGCCGATTCTTTTTTCATAGCTCTTTTCTTCCGATACAAGGGCATGCTTCCTCCGTTATTGGCGAGTCCGCCCCGAAGAGCGATCAAGTTTCACACTCCTCAACAAAGCCCAAGTATGTAGATGGCTCGGACGTCGGTGCCTTCCTTTCTTTACGAGGTATTTCGGGCCGACGGTCAGCAAATAGATTTAACAGTTTATGGGAACGCAAAGTAAACTTCTTATTGAACACCGTGTAATATATCTTTGGGAAAATACTCGAATTAAGTTGGTTCTCAGTTGCTTTTTTTTTTCTTCGCTCTAAAGCGCCGTAATCCATTAGAAGTTGAAGTGGCTTTGGGGGGTTGACTTTGAATAATTACTTCTTTATAAGTTAATTCTAATTAAATCAACCGGTCGCGCAGTTTTTTTTCAGAGGCAAAGTTTGCTTATCCCACGATTTTGAAAAGATTATATTTAGTGTAACATTCTAATCTCCGATACATTTCCAGTAGCTTGTTGGTGATATCGTGTTTGTATTCGACTCTTAAATTATTAATACAGACTCTCCCTCCCTCTCCGTTGGTACAGTATACACCGTCGCCGTATGTATTTTAGCGGGAAACGAACTGTGATGACCTTTGTTTGTTTTTGGCGGTGAAAATCTCTGTATTGCCACCCATCTTCTAGAACTACACGCTGTTTGTTTTGTAATCACGAGTGCGGCTTCTGTGTCGTTGTACATTTCATACGTAAACGTACGCTGAATAATGTCTTATTTCACATGCAGTTAAAAGCCGCGGCCCCAAAACGTGCTTTTTGGAAGAACTGTTGTTGGCATATTTTAATTCATGTACTGTGTGGATTTTACAGATATACTTTTAATTCGGAGGTATAACTAATATGCAAGTTGGGGAATATTTACGCGTACTCCCTAACACACCACGTTGTGCTCAGTACAACGCGGATTAAAAAAAAAATAAAACAATTGTAACTCATGACCATTTAAGATAACATTCTATTTTCCAATTTATATATTACTTTATTAAAACTGTAATATATTCACAATTCATACAAATAATGATGGTGGCAAGACTCGCGCATGGTAACTATAGGAGGCATTTTAATATGAGATTTGCATATCATAATTAAGTAGTCTTACAGTAATTATAAACTATACTATAATATGAGGCTTACTAAGCCGAAGCGTACAATTCCGTACTTTTACCACGACAAATCGGAGAAAACGCGAAATGTTCGCTCGACAGTGGACTCCCTGTGGCATGAGTGGCGTAGACTTGAGCATTTAGTTGGCTTAATCACAAGTGGACTTATTGAACGATTGATCGATTTGTTCATTGATAGTCTTATACTTGTGTCGCACCATTAAAAGAACAAAATGATTTACGATACATTTAAGTTGAATTAGAGGGCCTCTGATGTGGTCGAAGTCCTGGGTTCGACACCACTTTTGCAATAGTTCAAGAAGAATTCTGTTTCCATCTCTACTGCGGTCTTACATCGTACCTAGTCAGCTCTGCATATGAATACAGTTTTACAATCTGCATATGAATACAGCTTTACAATCTGCATATGAAGAAAACAGAAGCCGTCTATGTTCCTAATGTGAATATAACCAAAGTGGTTTATAATATCCATAAGAACACAACTATAGCGGTTTACAATTTGCATATGAATATAACTACAACGGTTTACAGTTTGCATATGAATACAACCATTGTAGTTTACAATCTGCTTACAAATACAACCTGTAAAGTGCTTTACAATCTTGCATACGAATACA